CGACTATAAAGAATCACCTGGGTCCTCGATATGATACACGCGCAAAACATCAACTATATGCTACCAACCCAAGCTCACAGGGCACTGGAGTGTCACACAAGCCAATTTGACCATCATCTGCGAACGAAGCACGCGTCACAGACATTTATTTCCATTCCTGCGTTCTCCCTTCTCCCTTTAAGAGAGCGGCCGTTGTGACAGCGTCTTTCCCACCTCAACCCAGCCTCCAGCTGGATTAACTGGAAGGAGACAGACTACATTACGTGCATTAACAAAAGGGGGTTATATTGCTGCGGAAACGCTGAAAATCACCCGTGTAGACTCACTGCGGTTCCCCAACCTTGGCCTTCGTCTTCAAGGGAAGCCCTCTTTCCATCATCTGAGGTACAACCTTGAACTCAGTGAGAATGCATATTTTATATATTGCAGTGCATAACAATAACCAGTAGCGGAACACAATAACTACAGGAAACAGAGAATTTGGATGAACCTTATGAGCAGATTATTTGAATATTCGAGACAAAAAAAAAAAAAAAAACTTATATTTTTGTGGATTGTTTTATTAAACTGTTCCCGTCTGTATTATGTGCCTTCTTCTTTTTTTAAACAATCATACAGCTTCCTTTTTTCTATTAGGTCTTGTAATGTGTTACTTTCGTTGTAATAATAGGATTATGACTTTTTATCTCATTAATTGGATTTAACATAAAAATAAACTATTATCAAAGCTTTCCAATCTTATTTCTTTATTTTGACTCGGCGGAAATTTCATTCAAAATTTCCAAGTCATTCTATTTTTAATTTTGGTAGAGAGAAGAGAGAGAGGACGAGAGAGAGAGAAAGAGAGAGAGAAAAAGAGAGCAAAGAGAGAAATTGGGATTCCCATATGTTGTCATCTGTACGTCTCTCCGTTTTCAATAGCAAACTGTCAGTTAGAATGTTAAAAAAAAGTAGCGTACCGTTCTACCCATATATGACAAATGAAATGAATACTGGTTCGCCGAAGGAAGGCTTCCATCCAGGACCGTTTTCGCTGCAAAACTAATTGTGAAGAGACTTTGGGCCGGGAAAGTGGGGGGGGGTCGCTTGGTGTGTTGCTGCCCTGCTGCGCAGAAAACACGGAAAGTTCAAGAAAGTGCTGCTGGCTTGAACAACCCATGGAGGAGCCCCAACACCATTTGACAGTTTTTTTAAAACATGTCCGAAAAGTGGGGAAAACTGTGCTTGAGGACGGTGCGTTGCACTTGCCAGGCCTCTAAATGGCGGCCGCGGGGGAAGGGACGACAAAAAAAAATATTTTTGTGCTGCTTTGAAAGACAACATACCGTCGGAGTCCGGGCAAGAGGAGAGCGCCTTTTTCCTTTTTTTCAAAAAGGCCGGCGGGCAGAACTGAAAGCCCGACCAGCGCAAGACCTACGCTGGACGCAACCCTATTCGTCTGCAAAGTCTGAAGTTCGTTCGCGGTAACACAGGGGGCAGGGCGCCTCTGCGTGGTCGTCAAGTGGCGTGGCGGCGGGGTCCGGCGTCCAGCCTACACCGGGCGGGCGGTGTTCGCGCTGATCGTCCTTTTATAGCCCGCGCCATGGCTACTGTCACGACATAGAAGAATGGACAGCAAGCTATGGCGCATTAACTCACACCCAGACCTTTCAACAGCGTGACCGCGCTGGAACGACACCAACATCGTGACGGTACAGAGCCTCCCATAGAGCTGTTACCTGCCGCTTCATACTGCAACAAACCTTTCCTGTACTCCCACGGAGCTCCTTACAGTCGTCCACCCAACATTGGGATACACTACACCAAAACTGGCAGTTATGCATCTTTTTTTGTAAAAACTAACTTTTTTTCTTTGCTTGAAACTCTTCAAAAACAATCCTGACATTCAGACACACTCGAGACAGGAATAATCAGCTGAAAAAGTTATTTTTACAAAAATGATATACTGCAGTTTTTAGTTATCCCAATTGTGACGACTGTAAGACTCCTGAGTACAGAAAGTTGTGCAGTATGAACAGTACAGCTCTATGGAGCTCTGTACCGTCACATTGTGTCTCCAGCGCGGTCACAGCTGTTGAAAGGTCTGGCTGTGCGACAGTAATGCCACTAGCTTGCTGTTTTCTATCTGAATACATGGCGCGGGTATAAAAGAAGG